CCTCCTAAGTAGTTGGGACTACAGGCACATGCCACCATGCCCAGCTAGTTTTTTGTATTTTAGCAGAGACTGGGTTTCACCATGTTGGCCAGGATGGTCACAATCTCCTGACTTCATGCTTCACCCACCTTGGCTTCCCACAGTGCTGGGATTACAGGCATGAGCCACTGTGCCCGGCCAGGACCACTTTTTAAAGCAGACTTTTTCTTCTTAGGTTTTTGGACTACATATTGGCAGATTTTTTTTTCCAGCCCACATTTTCAATAAAGGTATATTCCTATGTGAGTTCCGGGTTTATATGGGTTTTCAGTTTAGCCCTGATTTGAGTGATCCCACGGGCCTATCTCCTGTCTCCATATAGGTTTTAAAACCTAAGTCCCTGGAGTGTTGAGACTGACTGTCCTTTCGCAGGCTGGCAACTGCCACACCACAATGAGGAGAGCTGTAGCTTCAGCTCATGTGACTTCCAGAATGGCTTTCCAGTCTCTCAAGTGTACTTAGTGATGCATTTAGTCAGATCAAATGCTTGTAGTATTTTACTTAGCATTTCTAGGTATTTAAAAAATGTAAATCAGGCTGGGCATGGTGACTCATGCCTGTACTCCCAGCACTTTGGAAGACTGAGTTAGGAGGACAGCTTGAGGGGAGGAGTTCAAGACCAGCCTGGGCAACATAGCAAGACCCCATCTCTACAAAAATATCTTAAAATTAGCTGGGCGTGGTGGCATGCACTTTAGTCATAGATACTGAGGAGATTGAGGCAGGAAGATTGTTTGAGCCCAGGAGTTTTGAGGCTGTAGTGAGCTATAATTGAGCCACTGAACTCTAGCCTGGGCAATAGAGCTAGACCATGTCTCATAAATAAATCAATACATTTACCACTTTATATATTTTTTGAAATAGGGTCTCACTGTGTTGCCCAGGCTGGAGTACAGTGGCACTATCACGGCTCACTGCAGCTTCAACCTCCCAGGCTCAAGCGATTCTTCCACCTCTGCCTCCTGAGTAGCTTGGATCACAGGTGTGTGCCACACCCATGGTGTGTGCCAAACCCTAATTTTTTGCAAAGGTAGGGGTTCACCATATTGTCTCAAACTCTTGGCCCAAGCAATTTCCCTGCCTCAGCCTAACAAAATGCTTGGATTACAGGTGTGATTTAATCATCTTAAAGTGTACAATTCAGTGGCATTAAGTGTACATTGTTGTGCAACTGTCACCACTATCCATTTCCAGAACTGTCCATCATCTCAAACAAACTCTCTTCTGGATGTTTTTTAACAAGTGTTTAGGTAATTTGCTTCCTCCTGGTGAAGTGGAGGTAGAAAGGCATTTCAAGCAGAATGCACAGCAAGCGAGACGGCATAGTCTTACAAGACTCCCAATATCTGAGAAACAACAGAGTCCAGTGAGCAGAAACCAGTGCATAGCTGATATGGTGCAAGGTGATAGACGAGGCCTACAGAACAGTGTCAGATCATGCAGGCCAAGATAAATTCCTCTGTAGATAATGGGGAAAAGAATGAATTTTACAAATAAGAAGTTGAGGCCGGGTGTGGTGGCTCACACCTGTAATCCCAGCAATTTAGGAGGCCAAGGCAGGTGGATCACATGAGCTCAGGAGTTCAAGACCAGCCTGGCCAACATGGTGAAACCCTGTCTCTACTAAAAATACAAAAAATTAGCCGGGCGTGGTGGTGCACACCTCTAGTCCCAGCTACTCAGGAGGGTGAGGCAGAAGAATCACTTGAACTGGGAGGCGGAGGTTGCAGTGAGCTGAGATCTCGCCGCTGCATTCCAGGCTGGATGGCAGTGAGACTCCATCTCAAAAAAAAAGTTGAGTTGCTTGGTTTTATCATTTAGGAAGGTGAAAGGGAAATCTTGCAGTACTTAGTCTTGCTGCCAGAGTTAGTTATTTTGTCTAATTTTTAAATTGTTTACAGCAGGATATCAAATTCTATCCCAATTCCTCCTTCATGGGGAAGTTCATAGGATCAGATAAAAGAACAAATACAAGTCACAAAAAGCTAAGCCAAGGAAGTATTTACAATCAAATGCCTATTGCTACTCTTCAGATTATTGGATCAGAAACAGCTGTTATATACATGGAATGTATTACTAACATGAGTTAATTATAGTAGCCAAAATATCCCAAGGACATTATAATTTTGTATGATCTAAATGTCATATGACTTCACAGTGAAAAAAAGATGTCATTTGATAACTGGTTAAACAAATGTAAGACTGAGTTATCTGAGAGAAGGGTTCCAAATGAGGTGAGATCTAGATACACTGGAGTACTGGACAGCTCACAAACAAATATATTACCAAATGAAATGTCTAACGTAGGATTTGTATACCATGATCCCATTTTGTTGAAGAAAGGAATCTGGAAAATTATACACTAAGTTTATTTCTATTTTATATATTTGTTGTTTTCTATTTTTATGGACAATCACCATTTGTTAATTTTATAACTAGAAATAAAATTTTCATTTTATTGGGGGAAAAAGGAATATAGCTCTAATAATGGCCACAACAAAGCCTTAAGTCACAATATTAAATTTTAGAGATCTGTTCATCTATACTATTATTTTCTCAAAATTTTTTGATAGAAAGTTGCTAGCTCCTAAGACAAAATGTTCACAGAGAAAAGTAAGAAATAAAGATTAGGCTGGGTGCAGTGGCTCACACCTGTCATCTTAGAGCTGTGGGAGGCTGAGGTGAGAGGACTGCCTGAGCCTAGGAGTTTCAGGCTACAGAGTTACAGTGAGCTATGATAGTGTCACAGACTGTATGCCAGCACGGGCGACAGAGCAAGACCCTATCTCTAAATAAATAAATAATTGCTTGGTTATTTGCATACCAGTAAATAACATGTATACTGATGTTTCTGTATTTTTTCTGTATTTTTCCCCCAATCTAGAAGTTTGCTTTAATGCTTTTAAAACCATAAGCTTATTTATTTATTTATTTTTGAGGCGGAGTCTTGCTCTGTCACCAGGCTGTAGTACACAGGTGCGATCTCAGCTCACTGCAACCTCTGCCTCCTGGGTTCAAGCAATTCTCCTGCCTCAGCCTCCCGAGTAGCTGGGATTACAGTTGCCTGCCACCACTGTAGGGGGCACACGGCAACATATTCAAGCTTATGTACATGGCATTTGAGGTCGGGGCATGGAAAAATACTGAGGCACCGTTTGTTATTTGTGCATGGGAATGGAACTCCTTGACCCTGAAAACAGGACAGGGAGCGGAGTGTGTGGTGTGATAAGGAATGTTGAAAACAGCCTCCTGAGAATGCAGTTTGAGTGGTACAAGGTCACAGGTGCCTCAGCAACTCACCTCAAATGACCATCTAGTGGATGTTTGTAGTTAATACAAGCCCTTTCAATAAATACTTGCCAGATGGATGCTGGGGTGGACTGTTTTGGAACTATCCCCTAGCCCTGCTCAGCTGGAACTGTCTGAGTACTTAGTTCTTGGCATTCACTGCAAGCTATAAGCTCTGCAACCACACCTGGCTAAGTTTTGTATTTTTAGTAGGACAGGGTTTCACCATGTTGGTCAGGCTGGTCTCGAACTCCCGACCTCAGGTGATCTGCCCACCTCAGCCTCCCAAAATGCTGGGATTACAGGCATGAGCCGCCACGCCCAGCCTAAAATTTTTAACTACTGCAGATATGTATGGGAATAAATGATGAATTTGGCATGTAAAAGACAATTTGGCTGTGCAGATTGCAAGGTAATGTCTTGGCTGGGTGTGGTGGCTCATGCCTGTAATCCCAGCACTTTGGGAGGCTGAGGTGGGTGGATCACCTGAGGTCGGGAGTTCGAGACCAGCCTGGCCAACATGGTGAAACCCTGTCTC